AATAAGTACAAAATGCTTAGTATAGTACCTTGTGATGGGGTATGGGCCCAAGCCGAGACCTTTGCCTCTTGCCCCCAAAAGAATTTAGGTCCATTTGTCTACAGGCTCCAGAAAACCCTTCAACTCATTCTGGTCTCAAACGGTTACCTGAGGCTATATTCTACTCAATGGCTTTTCCTTCTATCTCCTTTTGAAAACCTAATGAAGCCCTAGCATATTTTCCACTTTTGATCCCATCCAGACCCCATTCAAACCTCTTCCTTCCAGTTTCTTTCATTATCTATTCCCATTGTCTAATCAACTTTTCAGACAGACATTCCAATTGGAATTCTCCCTAAACTTACTCCAACTTGGGATCTTTCTACCAGCTTCTTCTCCAAACAACCAAAATTATTTGAGTGTATATAAGATCCACCACAGCCCCCACTTACATGCTGAGATTTTCTCATGCCGCTCGTCCTTACAGGCATCACTAGTGTTCAGATTCCTTAAGAGTCTGGCCTGTATGGCCTATCCCCAATAAACTGTGTCTTTGGCTGAAAGAAGATTTGGATTGAATTCTTTCAGACAGGACCCATGTGTCATGACTTTGGGGTTCCAGCACCCCCAAGCCTCTAGACCTCATCACTTTGTATACTGTAGCACTATATAAACATTAGTGATGATGATGATGATGATGATGTACACGTTACCTCCTTTCAAGTTTTGCTATACAAAGACTCACAGGGAATATTTTTAAAATCATCTCCAAAGTATTAGAACAAAGTTGTTTTTGTTTTCTTCCACTACTGATTATTTTTTCCTTTTCCTTCCTAAAGTTATTCTACATTAGCGTCCTACCTGTGTCTGTCTGCTTTTTGGATCAAGAATTAGAAGTATGTGGGTTCAAGACACACCTCAGATGTTTGTTTACTATCTGTGTGACCTTGGGCAAGTCACAACCTTTCTGGGTCTCAGTTTCTTCACCTGTAAAATTAGGGGGTTGAATTAGAATCAGGGCTTCTTAAACTGTTTCTACTCATGCCCCTTTTCCAGGGTAGGCAGTGTTTGTTGGTGACCTCTAAAGACTACCAGTTCTAACATCTTTCACCACATTTTAAAGGTTTTCATTTAGTTTTTCATTGTCAAAAGATGAAGATCCATCCCTGGCCAGCAGAGTACAACTATTGTATCTCTGCTCCCAGATTAGTGGCACCTGCTCCTTCCCCTCTGTTGTCATTATGGCTATAAGACCACTAAAGAATGCCTTAAAGGTCCTACTGCCTTAAACCAAAAGCTGATGAAGCTGGAACTCTATTCTCTCTCCTTTGTCAAATGGGCTGGTAGGCAGATTATCCATTGTTAGGATTCACTTTGATGAATACAGTGACCCTATTGTAACAAAGAGACAATGCACCATTTTCATCCAGATAAACCAGTAAACTACCAGAACTTTTATTAGCTGGGACAGCCAGAGCTTTGCCTGGTGATGCCTAGAGTGATGACTCACTACTTAAATTTGCAGATTGCACTTCTTGTACTTCCCCAGTTCTCAGTCTCCACTCCATGGACTAATCCTATACCAACTTGGGGTGTGGCCCAAGTTGAGGTGTTAGCCCAAGCAAGGCCAGGGATGAGTGTCTGATTTATCATACCCTAGAGAAAGGGGATGCTGGGGAAGGGAGTGAGGCAGTGGGGATTTCTCTGAGCTCTCCTTTCCTTTAACCTTTGTCTTAATAACAGAATTAAGAGGCTACCTGGGCTAGCATTTTTTCTTCATCCTATTGCCTCTTGCAAAATACTATCTTACTTTTTTATAATATTTTATATAAGTTACAAAGTGTTTTCAGATATATCCTCACTTGACCTACAAAACAACCTTGTAAAGTAGACAGAGCAGGTGTTATTACTATTTCCTTCTGAGTAGGAAATTGAGGCACAGAGATACTGTCTTGGTCAAGCTTGTGTGGTTATTAGATGACAGAGTTGGGCCTACAATAGAAAATTTTCTATCCCAAGTCCAGACCTTAGTACTCCTTTCTTTTCTAAGCTTCCCTGTATATTCTAAGGTAATGATTTGCTACTACCATCTTTCATTCATATAGGTTTCAGAAGCAGATATCCAAACCCTATAATTACTTTGAAGATGAACCTTTAAATAAATTAAATTTATTATCTTAAAGAACTATTTAAAACACCAAAGGGATATTTTCTAAAGAACCTCCTCCCCCACCAATTTGGATGGGTTATAAATTATCAATCAGTGCAAAATATTTACATGTCTAGCCACTTATTTCCTCCATTTTCTGGGCATGGCAGGAAAGTGATGTTAGGTATCTTAAAGATTATGGCATCAAAAACAGGCTCTAGGCGTTGAGGCCACAGGTCCCCACCCCTGCTCTAGGTAGTCCAATAAAGCTGGAATGACTTAATGATAGGAACTTTTGAATGATTCTCTGGACTAATATTTCTTTTCTTCTTCTAAAACTGTGACAGTGCTAGACTCTGCATTTTGAATAAGGTTTTTTGAGGCGTGGGTTCAGAACATTCTAGGCAAGCAGATGGAGATGTCCTATAGGTAGCTGTAAATATGGAGCTTATGGGAAAAGTCAGGGCTAGAGATATTGATTTGGAAGTCATATGCATAGAGAAAATAATTGAAGACATGCACACGATTGCGATTTCCAAGATAGAGAATGTAGGGAGAGAAGGGAAGACCAATAATAGAGCTGAGGCTTTACACTTGCTTCGGCAGCTGGAGGATGAAGATGGATTAGTAAGGAACACTGAGATGACATGATCAACAGAGAGGAGGATAACCAGTAAATTGGAGTGTCATGGAAACCAAGGTAGAAGACAGTAGGTTAAAATTGTGAAATGCTGCAGAGGTTGAGGACTGAGAAAAGATAATTAGATTTGGCAATTTCTTGGTTGTTGGTGACTTTGGAAGGAAAAGTTTTAGTGAAGAAGTAGGGATAAAAGCCAGATTTCAGGGGACTGAGGGTGATGAGAAAGTAGAGACAGTTAGTAGAATTAAATTAGCATATACCTTTTAGATGTTTAGTAAGGAACAGGAGAGAAAAATGATAACTTGAGATGCAAAGGTTAAAGGAAGGTTTAAAAAAATTCTTTAAGGGTAGAGAGAAGATAAAGAGAAAGATACTGTGGCATAATGGATAAAGGGCTGGCCTTAGCACCAGGAAGACTTGGGTTCAATTTCCACTTCTGATATAGTCTGTGTGACCCTGGGCAAGTCCCTTAACGTCTCAGTCTTCTAGGCAACTCTCTAATGCTACAAATTTCAGAGAAGAGATGAACTTGCATTGGCAGAGGGGAGTTTTCTCATCAGGGAGTTCCTTGTACAAATAAAATCATACATACACACACACACACACACACACACACACACACACACATATTCCTTATTCCTACCCCTTTCCATATTATTATCCCTATCTTAGGGAAGACCTGAATATGTTTGTAGCCTGGTGAGAAGGAGCCAATTCAGAAAACGTTTATTAAGCACCTACTATGTGTCAGGCACTGTGATAAGCACTGGGGATACAAAGAAAGGCAAAAGATAGTCCCTGCCCTCATGGAGCTTATACTCTAATGGTGGGAGAGGGGAGACACAACTTATACATATATAAAAGCAATCTATATACAGGATAAAAAGGAAATAATTAACAGAGGGAAGACACTGGAATTAAGAAGGGTTGGGAAAGGCTTCCCGTAGGAGGTGGGATTTTAACTGGGCCTTAAAGGAACTAAGGAAGTTGGGGGTAGAGTGGAGAGGGAGAGCATTCTAGGCATGGGGACAGCCAGAGAGAATGCCCAAAGCCAAGTGATGGGGAATGTTTTCTTTGTGGAAAATCAAGTAGGCCAGTGTCACTGGATCGAAGAGTATGTGTTGGGGAGTGAAGTGTAAGAAAACTGGAAAGGCAGGAGCCAGGAGCCAGAGGAAGAGACTGAAAATCCATGTGAGTAATGAAATGACTGATGGAGCATGGTCACAGAGGAGATAGGAATGGATAGTGTCAGGGGAATAAGTAGAATGCTTAACTAACTTCACAATCATCAGATCACACTGTGGGATCATGGGTTTACATCTAGTAGGGCCCTTGGAGGCCACTTAATTCAACCTTCTTCTTTTACAGATGAGGAAACAGAGGCAGGTAGGCTAAATAAATTCCCTGATGGAACACAGATAACAAGTTGCAGGGCTGAGATTTAAACTCTGCTTTTTTAAATTCAAATCTGTTGGTTTTTCAATGATACTATATAGCAGTATTTTTTAAGTGAACTCAAGTCAGGAATGAATCTTCTGGAGGCAGGGAATGAAGTGAAGGTGAAAACAAAAAGCAAAAGAAATGACTACCCAAAATAAAGAAAAGAGGATAGATCCATTGAGTCCATTCCTGCTCATTCTAACCACTCTCTTTACTGCTCATCATATTGTAGAGCAATTTAATTTCTAATATTCTAAGACTCTCTAAGAATCTTCCCTATGTTTCTTCAAATAAACATTTAAGACCTTCTGCAAACAAACACCTAAGACTCTTGGAAATTAAAGAAGTTGGTATTTCAGAGTGAGTTAAGCATGTGAAAGAGAAAATATTAACAACCTCCCATCAATACATATCATATCTATAGCACATAACCCATATTATATCTCATGATATGTCCTAAGTATTCAACAAAGTTCATGTTGTGATTGTACATGCATAACCTATATCAAATTGCTTACTGTCTTGGGGGAGGGACAGGAGGAAGGGAAAGAGGGAAAGAATTTGGAAATCAAAATTTTAAAAAACAAATGTTTAAAATAGTTTTTGCATGCATTTGGGAAAAAATAAAATATTAATACAAAACAAAGTTTTTGTGTTGGGGAATTTTTTTTAGTCTATTTTAGTCTACTAAATTCTATGTCCTGCCTGAGCATCTAATGATGCTTTTATTAGTTTTGATGTATTTCTATAGTCATATATAAAACATAAGCAAAGTAAACCAACAGAACTTACTTTCGATTGGAACACCATTTGTTAACCAGCTAATGCTGGGTTTGGGATTTCCATTAGCTCTGCAGATCAAAGTCCCATCTTCCCCAGGGGAGAGTACAAGGTTTCTAGGAGCTGTGATCCAGTATGGGGCCGCTTTATTGAGGACAAAAATAAAGATCTGAATCAAACAATAATTACAATACGGTGGTGAGAAAATGACTTGACCCTTTCTCTCAAAATTAATACTCTGCACATGCATACTGAAATCCTCTACTGAAGTTCCACTCAGAAGCATCAGTTTACCATGGAGATGACACTGGGTCCTTCAAGGATCTGCCAGCAGGTTCTATCACAAAAGAAATTCTTTGAGCATGGACCCCATAAGGGCCTGTAGTTCTTTCTTTCAAGGATCAGCCAAGGAATCATAGAGAAGCTTATCACCATAATATTGACCACCAAGTGATTAACTGAATATTTTTGGTCACAATAACTCAAGAAAAAAATCTGCCTAGGTGGAGGCTGGTTTGCAGCGTGTATGGATAGGGAGAATGCCCATATTTCTAAAACAACTGAAATATTGATATATATTCTAAGAAATTTGTTTGGTCAGGCTTCACTTTTAAGAAGTAAGCTAATCCACACTTTACCCTACTTCAGATTAATACCTTGGTGTTATGAAAGGATATCTAGAGAGTAATTCTAATAATTTTTTTGTTCTCAGTGTGATTCCCTTCATTTGACATTAATAGTAATTAAGAATTAAAAGCAGGACTGATTTGTCATGTGTCATAGGACAACCAAGAGGTACATAAAGAACTAAAAAAGAATGAATTTTGATCATTAGTTCCTTTTTAAACTGAAGTAACTCATTATTATTTTGATATAAGCTCCACTGCCAATGAGCCCTTCTAAGTGTTATACTGAATGTGCCAAAAATCTTAGTGCTATTTTAAAGCTTTACCACTATGAGCAAAACTTAAAATGCACTAAGACTTTTGGGACACATTGTACATGCCCAAACTGTACAAAACTATTTGTTGCATCAAAGTTGATATTTAATTGATTGTACCTTCAATTTAAATAAGATGAATATATTTTAAACATTAGTATACCTTTGACTGTGACTGAAATGGTGTGTTCAACAAAGCCTAAAGAATTTCTTGCTGTACACTTGTATTTTCCAGAGTCTGCCTCTGAAACATGGATGATATTGAGAGTTTTCTTAAAGTTTTTGTAAAATGTCCGGTTCACGGGTAGCTCTCCATCTACTTTTGTCCAGTTAATCGAGGGAGTGGGCCTGATGTGACAAAAAAAAAATACTGATGTTGTAAAAACAGATGTGCCTTCATTTCATACAAGCATTTAAATGGTTTATCATGAAATATTTTATAAGCTCCAAATTCATTGTACAAGTGCTAACATTTCACATTAGAATTTGTGGTGACCTCATATAGTCAATATTTGGGTTACTTCTGTCAATATTCTGATTATTTACTTAAAAGAAATTATAAAACCGTATTGCATAAGCTAGTTCCAGGATGATACTCAGTTATCTTATGCAAATTGATCTCTGACCAACGAAAAGATCTTTGAAATTTCTGCAAGGTGTTATGTCAAAGCAATGGTCACAAAAATGATCACAAAATGGTCACAAAAAATGATACTCCCTCAACTGGAGCCATCAATCTACAATGAACTAACTGACTGACATAAACACTTCTTCTCATGAATCTCCACATATATTTCTATATTCAATTCAATTTGACAAATACAAGGTGATAGAAATGCAAAAACACAGTAGTCCTCTCAAAGAGCTTACACTTTCCTGAGGAAATACAGTACAAAATAAACATAGATAATATGAAAATATTAGGTATTTTATGATATCAAATGGAACCTTTCTCTTCTTATCAACCCTCATTGACTCCTTTGGCTTGATCTTGAAATATACACATATGTATATATATATGTATATATATATGTATACATATATAATGTGTGTGTGTATGTGTGTGTGTGTGTGTGTGTGTGTGTGTGTGTGTATCTTCCTGCTCTCTCTACCTATCTCTAATACTAAAGGTCTAGAGTGGAAGTTAGGGCTGTTTTTCTAGTTTCAATATTTGTTCCTAATTTTATTTCTGGAACTTAGTAATACTAGTGGGAAGAATTACTGGTATTAGTTAATAATACTAGTGGGAAGTACGCACACGTGTTATTTTAAACTCTTCATACATCCATTTTCTTATCTGCCCAAAGGGAGATAATATCTGCCTTCCTGACCTTACAGTGTTGTTGTCAACATTTTTTAAAAATTGCATTTGCTTTTTTCATAAAATATTGGATTGAGCGACTGTGAAAAAATGTTTTCTCAAAGGAAAATAATAATAGCTAACATTTATATAGTACTTGATGTTTTACAACCATGCAAACACCTTTTATAATAAACCCAATCTGTGAAGATAAAGAAAAATTAAAGGCATCATATAAATAGAAGGCATTCATCAGCTTTCTATTATTTTACAACATAGACTTATAGACTAAACTGACTGAAGTGATCATAAAATCTCATAGGGAGAGTGGGAAGGATAAGCACATTTTATACAGTACTAAATTTATTCTGGCTCCTCTTTTAGTTGGAAGTTCTTGCAAATAAGGAATTTTTGGATGCTTTGTCCCTAGTGCCAGGCTTACTTGTAAAAGATCAGACCAGAGCTTTCCAAAACTGGTTTTGCAATACATGCAGGGAGCCAGATCATCTGAAGGGATTAAATAAAATTTTTAAATCCTATTTTAATAAATCATAATTAAATAACTGCCAAATAGTATGGAGGGGGGAAAGCTGTAGTTATATTGTGTAATAAATTCATATATTAAGAGAGAGAAAGGAATCTAAAGATTATCTAGGCCAACATTTCTCTCTCCATTGTATAGATGTCCCCACAGAAGTCAAGGTGACTAGCCCAGGGTCACAGAATTTCCAGATTAGTGTCCTTTCCACTATCAGAGTGGCACAACTCCAAAAAGTCTGAGAATCATTGGGTTGTACCCTATTCTTCCCCTTAAAATCAAGCAAAAGTAGATCTGAAGGATGTCACAAAGAATACAAGAAAGTGGATATTAGGACTGGTTTGATGGGTTCCTTCAGCAGTACCATGCCAGTGTGATTTCCCACACTGGCCAGGAGAGGCCTCCAAACACACCCTGGTGAAGGTAAAAGAATACCAGGAAGCCTATTCTAGGAAAGTCGGGGGCAGAATTAGAATGTGAGCCCAGTGGCTTCCCACACACAACTGCTGTGAGGTCAGGGAAAACACTGATATGGCCTGCAAAGACTCTTGTTTCTGAGATTTCAGTCAACATTTTAATGGAAGAGCCAACAAAAATATGTACCACAAATTTCCCTTCCAGTGTCCTGAAACTTGTCTGCAGACTAGATGGCTCCTGAATGGTAAATGTGCCCTGATGCTATGGGAGTTTTGTGGTATGCAGAAAGGGGGGGGGTTCACACAGCTAATATTTACTAAGTTCAGATCATTTATACTAGCTGTATGACCACAGGCAAATAATGTCACCTGTCTGAGCCTCAGTTTTCTCATTTGTAAGATGGGGTGTCTGACTCACAGAAAGAAAGTTAGTACTATTATTGATAACTATCTATAAAATAGTAAGACATAGAGAACTAAGAAAGAATAAAGGGAGCTTTGAGGATCATTTGGCACTTGTGGTTTGAAGGTGACAACAGTATTTTAAACATGGTAACTATATGAATTAGAAGAGACAACAGGATGTAGAAAGAATATTAGACTGGCAGTCAGGAGACTTAGCCCAAGTCTTACTTTGTCAGTAACTAGCTGTGCACCAATGAGTAAGTCCTTTAACAGCCTAAAACCTCAACTTTCCCACCTGTATAATGAGTGCCATGGATCATCTGATTTATAAGATCCCCAATTCCTAGCATCCTAAGACTCATAAAATCCTTAAGTAAACAAATTTGATAGTGAGTTATAACCAATACAAATAATTAAGCCTTCTCCTAAGAAAAGAAATATAAGAAGCAATGTATTGAAATGTACAAGTATTATAAAAAGTACAACATGCTATTTTTTTTTTTAATATGAGGATGCTATTAATAGTGTGACTAGGGCTTACACTCCATCTTGTTTTCCTAGTAGTGGTGATAGATTAAGGTTTATCTGGCTATAGTCCCTTACTTTACCTGCATGGGAAAGGATGATAAAATACAGATAGGGGGTCATTTTTCATCAGAGTAAACAGCTTTGTCTGGGTTTAACTTTTCCAAATTGTACCATATTAATTTAGAATGGAATCCCCTTTTGATGTCAGAATAGCCAAGTAGCTGAAGGATCTCAGAAAAAAGAGTCAGTCAATCAGTCTTAACAGTCACAGAACAATAATAGTATCTATTCAACTGAGCTAAAAGCCAAAGGATAAAATAAGTAAATATGAATTTATGCCTATCTTGTAAATTAAGCAGTTTAACAAATGTGTGACTCATCCTGCCTACTTTCAAAACACTTAGCAATGTTTCCTTGACACATGCATAGCCTGAACTGGACCACCTTTCATAGCCTATAGTACAAATACCTCTAAATAAGTATACTTTGATTTTTTTTATTATTAAAAATATATATTAGGACAAAAAAATCAACTCACAAGCCTTCTGCAATACACTCTAGGGAAAGAACATTTTCTCGTAACTCTTCTTTATGACTTGTTTGGCCTTCTGGAGTTAAAAGCTTTGGTGGCCTCTCAATATAGGACTTGGCTGCAGTGAAGAAAGTCAATAAATACAGAATCACATCTATAAGTAGCCATAGACACACATTTCCAATTTCTTTCCCCTAAATATCCTAGCCTATATTCATACTCATTTCAGTTTGGAAGTTAAATATTGGTGGCCACATACATACTTATTTGCCTTACAAATAGCCAATGACTTATTCGGCTAGACCTAGCAATGATTTATGTTGGTTGCATACTTAAGACTTTTATTTTTACTATCCACCAATCTCCTAGAAACAGGAAGCCTTTTAAAAACAATCTATAGGTTTATGTATTCTTAAAATGTATTTACTAAGCTTTAGTATAAGTTATTATGTTGAGTATATATACACATAGAAAATACAGATAGATATATTTTATACGTATATTAAATATATAGTCATATATGCCAAAGATAAATGCGTATATGTATGTGTGTACATACACACATACCTATATCTGATCAAAAATGTGACTGAACATTTTGAAAAGGGACTAGCTGATAATAGATGGTCATTCTGTGGCATTTGAGTTAACAAAGGGAATGAAGCCACATATAGCGATATAGGCCTGTAATCCCAGCTACCAGGAGGCTGAGACTGGTAGATCTTTTGATTGTGGGGTCAGGAGTTCAGCACTGCAGTAAACTAAACTGATCAGGCGTCCTCACTAAGTCTGACATCAATAAGTCTGGTGGTGGTGGGGAGGGGGTTGGCAGTAGGCTACCTAAGAAGGGGCCAACCCGTATAGTTGGGTATAGAGACGGTCAAAGTTCCCATGATGATTAGTAGTCAGAAGGAACATAGGATTAGCCCCAACATTTCTTGTCTACTGAGAGAGGAAGACCCAATCTTACAAGGTTGGGGAGGAGGGCAGGAAGGGAATGATTTTACATTGTAAGAGAATAATCAGGACTTTGCTGAGGATTCAGGGATTGTGAGGAGGCTGCCTCTATGTAAACCTAGCTGAAGTTATGGGAAGCAGTTCTGTGGGGATGCAGATGAATCTATTCTTTGATGGAGCATACAGAGACAGCAATCAAATAAAAACCAGGCCATCGTGCAGCAAACATATATTCCTTGTAACTGAATAGCATATGTTCAATTTGCCCCTTAACAGTTTTTAGTTCACCTTCAACTGCTAATTAACAGGAATGTTGGACATTTTTTGTTGATAAAACTTGGATTTCAGGGGCCAGTAATGTATATAAAATATAAAACCAAACTCTTACCTGTTTTAAAAGTACAGTGTAGAGAAGGTAAATACTTTGGCATAATGATTATATTAATAGGGTATAATAGCTGGTTTTTCTTTCAACATCAGCTGCATAATTTTTTTTATAGGTTCTAAGGTTTCATTGATTTAGGGCCCACCCAGTGAGAGAACTCTTTAGCAATGCAGAACAGCACATATCTTCCAACTTACAGTTTCAGAGAATTGCATGAAGACTAAGAGGTGAAGTGAACCTGCCCAGGGTCCCATTTGTAAGTCGCAGAGGAGGGACTTTAACCCAGGTTTTTCTGATTTCAAGGCTTGCTGCCTATCTACTTATATCACACTGCACTTAATATAAACATTCAGTAAGTACTTAAAATTTTATTTAATAAAAATAGATATTTATATTTATCCCTGAAAACTTTACAAAATCTTTTTATGTCTTGCTATAGGATTACTTGAACAAAAGGGAATGATTATAATAACTCATCTGTGTACATGTCAAGGAAAATGGTTTCATCTAAAAGATCCACAAGTGATTTAAAAGAAAAAGGATATTGCCTTTTATATGAAATGCAAATAGATAAAATGAGGGAAATGCAGTCATTTTTAAAAGCATCTATCAAGTTATTAATTGCTGGGATTATTCACTAATAATGCCTCAAGATATTACTGTTACTTTAAACAAATGGTTAGTCTGAGTGAACATTAATATGCCCTTCAACATTTCACTGAATGCACAGGAAAATGTGAAAAGAAAAAAAGAACAGAGAAGTTAAATTTTAAAATAATTTCTAGATCATGTGAAATGGTTCTCCAGGTAAACATATGCAGCTAGAATGGAAGTTTTCACAATGTGAAAAATATAAGTAACATTAAAAAATTTCTAGTAACACAATTTTAAAGGTTTCTATCCACAGGACTACATAAAATTTTTTTAAAAAGCAATCATGGTTAAGTAGCTATGGAGGTGGAGTTAGTTTACTAATTTCTACAATGGAGACAAGAGCAGTTATGATCACCATAACTTACCACCGTAAAACTCAGAGTCACTCAAATTAGCAGTTATAGTGTCATTCAATTCATCCACTGAAATAAACAGAATATTATGAAAAATGCACCAAAGATAAGGGGGAAGGATTAAAACTATTGGGCAACAAAAAGCAAACTGATAATGTCTATGTAGCCTGTCAGTTCTAGCAAATAAAAACTAGTTGTAGATATCACTGTCATGTGATCACTTTTGACCAATAAAATAGTGAACTTGGAACTCATATCTGAAGAAGATGATTAAAATTCAGGATGTGATAAATCATACTTTATAAATATGAATAGTACCCAAACTAAGCATTAGATAGCATGTTCCTTGATGAAACAGTAACAAAGATATACAATCATTGTTTATAGTGCAAATTTAAAAATATATAAGGTATCCAGGGCAGCTATTGACATTTATAATACTTATCACAATACTTTATTGGGATACATAGATAATTTCTTATTCAATAAACCTATTTAGTTCAATATAGGTGGTATATCATATATACATATGCATCTGTATTTTATATTAGTAAACCTGACTGAAAAAACATTTAGGAAATTTAATACGTACTTGAATGTACTTTCACAGAAATGGGTTGCTTCTGCTGGATGGTCTGAGTGTGATTAAATCTTGCATAACAAATATAATCTTCACGAGTATCTTCTGGTAGCACATTAGAAAAATAAAGGTCTCCATTTAGACCTTGGGAAACTCTTTCACTTTGTGGAAGGCGTTGAAAAGCTGGGGACAGGGAAGCAGGAAAATAATACATAATCATACCATTTGAAAAATGCCACTTTCAACACTAGCAGGATAACTTCTTAGGTACTTCAAAATTTATTTCATAAATATTGATTTTTCCATTCCCTCTCCCCACTTGAAAATTTCCTTTAAGTCCTTTTATGTGTTCCTGTATGACTACTTAACAAGAGGGGATGGCTGTGAAAATTTATATATGGAAATTCCAGCAATACAAAGATGCTAATAATTCATTGAGGGGAAAAAGCAGAAAGAGGACAGTGAAGAAAAAGTCAGCACATAGGTCCCAAGGGTTTTATTATCAGTATATTTAATACCTAACATATTACACACACATTCTGTTTACAACCTCACAACAATTCTTTGAGGTTGGCAATTGCAAGTATTATTTTACAGATAATGAAACTGAGGCTCAGAAGTTAAGTGAGCAGGCCACATTCACATAGCTAATGAGCATCATAATGAGGATTTGAATAGAGATTTGCTGACTTCAAAGGGCAGGTTTCTTTCACTGCATCCCACTGACTCAGCACAATTTGACAGATCATCTAAAGGCTTGTTACTCCCAATTGTATGGTAACTATTTGTGGAAGTTATATCAATGAAATTTCTAAGGGTGACATGCTTAAACTGCATTTACATAGTGGCTGAAAATCATTTGCAAAGTAGACAAAGGTTGGTGATAGTTTAAAAATACCCCCATAATTCCATATGTGCTATATTTAAATATAGTGCTTTGTTACTTGACTTCCAACTTTGATTTAGATGGGGGTGTCAAGGCATGATCAAGATTTTGAGTGAAGGGAAAGGAAACAAACATTTAATAAGCACCTACCATGTGACCAGCATCGTTCTAAGCACTTTACAAATATTATCTCATTTGATCCTTACAACAACTCTGGTAGGTAGGTGCCATTTTATGTTTGAGGAAACTGAGGCATACAGTAGTTAAACCACTTGTCCAGAGTCACATAGCTAATAAGAGTCTGAGTCTTGATTTGAAATCGGGTCTTCCTGACTCCAGGCCCAGTTCTCTATCCATTGCATCACTGAATTTAAACATACTAACACCAGAGCCTAGAGAGAAATGACTAATTATTCATGAGTGAATCTATAAATCAGTTTATTATTCATGAATACCCAAATCAATCATGAAACCTAAGTTTCAATTCAGTAAGAATCCCCCTTGAAAAATTATTTCACAGAGAATTTTGTCTCGAAAATTTGTATGTATAATATATATGTATATGTGTATTGTGTATATGTGTGTGTGTGTATATATACACACACATTTTTATGTAAAGCATTTCAGTCCAGGGCCCCTAGAATTGACACTTACTGGCTGTATGACTATAGGAAAGTCCTTATGCTTGTCAGAATATTAGTTCAATTAGGTTCAATTCAAGTTGTATTTATTATGCATCTACTATGTGCAAGGCACTATGATAGGCACTAGGGATACAAAGAAAAGACACAAATACAGTCACTGTCCTTAAGGATCTTATATTCTATTAGGAGAGAGAGAGAGAGACAGAAACAGACAGAGAGAAAGAGAGAGAGAGAGAGAGAGAGAGAGAGAGAGAGAGAGAGAGAGAGAGAGAGACAGAGAGACAGAGAGAGACAGAGAGAGATGGAGACAGATACACAGTGAGAAAGAAACAAAGAGAGAATGAGAGATAAAAATAGAGAGAAAGAGATAGAGAGACAGAGACAGCAAGGAAGACCAAAACAGAGACAGAGGGGGAAGAGGGAGAGAGAGAAGGTAAGAAGGGAGGAGAAAGAGACAAAGAGACAGAGAGAAACGATTTCAAAGAGCTGTGAAGAAAACTCCTACCTTAAAACTTTAAGTCCACAACATGAAGGAGAGTTATTATTTTTACTACTAGGAAAGCCTTCGTAGGTCCAATCAATTAGCTGTGTCACATAGACACAGTTTGCACAGACAATAGATAGAGTGTTGGGTTATAATGCAAATTTAAAAATATATAAGGTATCCAGGGCAGCTATTGACATTTATAATACTTATCACAATACTTTATTGGGATACATAGATAATTTCTTATTCAATAAACCTATTTAGTTCAATATAGGTGGTATATCATATATACATATGCATCTGTATTTTATATTATTAAACCTGACTGAAATATACATTTTGGAAATTGAATACATACTTGAATTATTCATGAATATCCAAATCAATCATGAAACCTAAGTTTCAATTCAGTAAGAATCCCCCTTGAAAACCAGAGGAAATTGAGGGGGAAAACCAGAAATCTAATAGTGTCTCTGAAACTTATTAGTTCCCGTGGGCAAGTCACTTAACCTCTTGGTGCACCAGAGACTTACTAATACATAAACTGAGGAGAAAATGGTCACCTGTGTTGGCAGAGGGAATTTCATTATCTGGGTACATATACCAATGAAACCATAGGTCTAAAACCAAAACCAAAACCACTTTTCACTGAGTGGTTGTGAGGTTCAAATGAGATTATGTGTGTAAAGAACTTTGGAAATTTCGAAGTGCTGAATCAATGTCATGTATTATTTTTAATATCTAATATGTATGTGTCCTTTCTTACCCTCACAGAATATGAATGTTTGGATGAACGGTTAGGATCCTTCTTTCGTGGAAGGGAAAGACTACTAAAGAGCTAGTGTCTGATAGAACTCAGAGCCATAAGATTACAGAATTGGAAGGGAACTCAGATACTATCAAGTCCAATTTCTAGCTGAAATGGAATTCTTAGTGTGATATCCCTGAGAAATAATGATTTTTTTAAAGACCTACAATGATAGAGAATGAGGTACTGATTCCTCTTCTGAACATCACTCAGTGTTAGGAAATCTTTCCTTACGTTGAGCTGAAATCAGCTTCCTTGCAACTTCCAACCACTGCTCCTAATTCTGCCTTCTGGAGTCTAGCAAAATAAATCTAATCCTTCTTTCACCTGACAATTTTTCATATTCGACAGAATAGCCATTATGTTCTTTCTAGTTCTTTCCTTGTCCACACTAAACATCTGTACTTCCTTCAATCAATCCTCACGGGGTGGTGATGAAGCAAGCACTTTGTAAAATCTGAAATCATCCCTGTAGAGATGTGTTCTAACATAATTGCTATATTATTAATTAAACTAATAAGGTATAGCAGATTATTCTTGCAATTTTGTCATGTATCAATATAAGCAAGAATTGATGTAAAAGTAGTAAAAGTAGATTCCTTGGTGGCATATTAAAAAATAGAAAAAAGAGAGAGAAAGGGAGAGACAGAGACTGAGAGACAGAGAGGAAGGCAAAGAGAGATATATATACAAAAAGAGACAAAGAAATAGAGATAGAGAGACAAATAAGGAGACACAGAAAGTTTGCTTTGTATTTTTTCTTTTGGGGTGTATTCTCAGCATGTTTTCCCAAATAACAAAATTTCATCACTGGAAATCAAAATTTTGGAGTCTTTTTCCTCCTTCAGAGACTAATGTTTCTGATTGATATCTGAGGAAGTTTTGTTGTCAGCATTCAATACATATGACCTTGTGAGCTATCTTCTTAATTAATCTAAAATACGATGTAACTTACAGTATTTTTATAAGCATCAGTTTTCCTCTAGGAACTCAATTTAAAAAAAACTCACAAAAAAGTAGCTCCTCACATTAAAACAACAAAATGACATACTTCAAATCTTCTTACAACTTACAATTGTCCATCCAAAATATAATAGGTGGTGGTAATCCGAGTGGGGGTCTGCAAGGAAGTACGAGAGACTGCCCTTTCAGAATTGTGATTTGTTCCAGTTTTTCTTTGGTCCACAAGGGAGATCCTATTAAATACAATATCAACTCCTAAGTTAACCCTTTACTAGGAAATCTTTTAAAAAAGATACAGTAAAAGGAAAATGTCTCATAGTCTTACCCATTCCTCTCAATTCAATTTATAAATGTTAACCATTTATCCTTATGGAAAGAAGATGAGCTGAACTTTAAAGAAAATATTTGAAGTTAATTCTATATGATTTACTAAAAATGCAAATAGTACTTATTAAATACTGTATCAGACAATCTTGGCCAATATTTGACACTAACAAAAAAATACCATACAAAACATCAAAGCTTGTTATCAGATGTTATTTTATGTAAGGTAAGGAATGAAGAAGCACATACTATTTTGGAAAAAAAAGTAACACTAAAGAAAAAATACAAATAGATTTTATTTACATATCTCTAAATGCCTTATATATTGGATAAAATTTCTCTTGACATCAGGAAATTTGTTGGTATAGAAGATAATTCAGGAACAGATAAATAGGTTGGTTCTGAAAAATGATATTTTTCTTTTCATAATGCCTTATTACCATTTACTACTATTTTTTAAAATACACATAAGACAAAAAAAATCATATTGGGAAAAGATTTAGATAATGAACTTGTTAGAGAAAACTGGAAAAGAGAGTGATTTTCTTGCAACTCAAAGGCAGAACATGAGAAGCTTTATTATTACAACATCTTCATTTTTGAAGGAGATTGTATTGATGATTTTAAAAATCCCCAGAGCTTTACAAAAGCTGAGAATTACAAAAAGAGGAACACCCAAAAAGAGAAATAGCAGGTTTGATTTACAAGCTTTACTTACTGGATGGGCGAATGACAATATTATTAGAAATTGCTGCCCCTCGTTCATTCCTTGCAGTACACTGATAGACTCCTTCATATGCCTCTGCCTTCCCTTCAATTGTAATGCTGATGACAAGGGTTCCTGAGTTGGGCAGCATTTTCACTAGGGGATCTTTGTCTATGTCAAAATGAGTCCCATTGCGTGTCCAGGAGAAGCTACCATCAAATAAAAGACATGAGATCAGAATATGCTAAAAAGTTAGAAAAGTCATATCACTCTAAAAATTGCTTTTAAAATATAAGTATATGTGTAGTAGAATATTTAGATGTATATTACATACATATATACATACATCCTAATGGAATATTTAGACACTTGCATTGTATAAATATACGTGTGTATATATATATGTATACATATATATATGTATACATATATATATGTATACATATATATATATATGTATGTATATGTAATCTTAGGACTTACATTGATTTTAATTGAGAACAAATTGTCCAATATAAAAGGCCACAATTTTAGAAAATTAGTCATGCATGAAGTGCTTGATTTTGGAATGATGACCTAGAAATAAAGTATTAGTTATCCATTTTCAGGTCCATGTCTTTTTTATAACTAACCACCAATAGAACTCAGTGGAGAAATCAAGCACGAAAATTGCCTGTCATTTTTCAAAAGAAAACATAGGAAGCTGGTCTGTCAGTCTTACTATTCCTAGAGCTTCATTAGCATTTTTATTATAGATGCCATTGTTCAGAGGGTTGGTAACCTGTCTGTAAAAATTTGCTCGGAGCTGAAATGTGACATTGAAAGCGTCAGCTAGAACTATGTCTTTTAATTGGTTAGGGCAGCTTTAAGTTATGGAAATATAGCAAATCCCATATAGGGGTTGACTAATATTTCATTTCTTGCTAGTGAGAGGTGGGATTCTGCAAGTATATTCTGCAAGTTGCTGGTTCCTGGCTAATTTAGTAAATTCCACAGGGAGCTATCCAAAAAGTCAAATGAGATTCTGATGATGTGTGCATACAGTGATTTATTTCATTAACAAATTCATTGCCTTTGCATTCATAACGGTCATGTAATTCAACTCTTTATTTAGAAACATATTTACAGCATAGGCAATGACCGTGCTGATACAAGAGCATGTTTTTCCAACTTGTACTTATTTTTTTTAACTCTAAGCACGTTTCCCTTCTTTAATACAGGATTATAGATGGTATTAAAAATAAAGGTAGCTATAAATTTAATTCACAAAAGCTAGAGAAGAGGATTTTTAAAAAATAAAATTTCTGAAGCAATAGAGCAAAACATATCAAATTGAAGCAAACTACTAATTAAAAATTTGAACTGTTAAATTTCCTTTGACTTTTTTGGCTTCATGGCTTTGGGCCAGGTGCCTCTGCCTCTCCTTTTCAGCTTCCTTTTATGTGTTCTCTTCCCTTGCTAGATTTTAAGCTCCTTGAGGGCTGGGGACTGAGTTGTTTTGTTTGTATGTGTGTTTTTGTTTTCATATTTGAATTCCTAGTACTTAACAGTGCCTGTCACATAGTAGCTGCTTAATAAATATTTATTGATTGAATGACTGACCAGCAAATCAATGTTTTGACTTAGTTAGTGGCTTTCTTTATTTAGCATTTTGTACTTCTCTATACACTTAGTATGAACTCCGTATTTACATAGTTCATTATATGAAATCCTACCATGTGCAAATCCCTTTATGCTTGCTTCAGATAGATTCTCTTCTTACCTCTACATTCTTAAATCTCTTGTTTACTTTAAGACTCAGCCCCAGTACCTTTCCTGGTCTCTCCAGCTGCTACTGTCTTATAACACCCTGTGTTGGCTTTGTATGTGTTTTGAATATACCTATAAATGCATTTATCTCCCCCATTAAAATGTAAGTTCTTTGACAGCAGGGACTGTTTTGCCATAGTCCTTGCATCCCTAGCATCTTTGTCCCCCTAGCATGTAATATATCCTCCATAAATGCCTGTTGTTTGATTAATTACCAATGTGGTGGTGACTCTGGGTAGGTAAGGCTATGCCAGAAGAACACAAATTCTGGTAACTCTCACTATTTCTGAAGGGCTGGGTGATGGGCCACCATGATTAAATTTAAAGAGATTCCTAACCAAATTGGCCACAGGGTGATGTACTTTTTTTTTTTTTGCCAGAGAAACCCTCAAAGATCATCTACTACATTAAAGTGCATGGCTCTGTGGATTTCAATATCATGCATCACTGAAATTACAGACCTTTGTTGTACCTCCCACTAATTATTCCATGAGTGCAGGGGTATCACGTACCCATCACCTAGAACAGTGCTTAGAATGCAGGGGCCCTATATTGTAAGCTATGCTAAATAAATGTCTGATGAACTGCGTTACTTCCAATTGCTTGTCTACTGTGATGGAGATAAGGTTTGTAATGGTGAACAAAATCTAGGAAATATTTGGAGTGTCATTTGTTTCTCACTTAAAAATACATATGTCATAGAATTACAGAATCTCATAATTGGACCTAAGAGGTTATTTACCTCAATCCAAAAGTAAATAGCAATCCCTTCCATAATATCCAAACATCCTCAATCCAGTCACCACATAAGGACCTCAAATGATGGAAAACCTATTAGTTCTGGAAGAAGCTAATTTTATTTAGGGGCAGCTTGGATTGTTGCAATTTTTTTATTTTCTTCCAGCTTGCATCAAGCCATAATCTAACACTATTATTAAAAATATTTTAAGTAATGTCTGTGTTATATTCTTTTTTTTCCCTTTGGCTAGGCAATGGGGTTAAGTGACTTGCCCAGGGTCACACAGCTAGTAAGTGTTATGTGTCTGAGGCGGGATTTGAGCTCAAGTCCTTCTGAATCCTGGGCTGGTGCTCTATCCACTGCGCCACCAAGCTGCCCCTGTGTTACATTCTATATGTAGAAGCCTAACCATGGGATCCTGTATGAGTTTGGAGAACTATTCTGGATCATTTGAAACCAACTCCAGTGTTATCCACTTTGAAAGAACATAAATAATAGAAGAAACAAACAATGAACCTAGAGAAAATTACAGCATTTAATATACTACCTTTGAAAGGTAGAAAAATCCAGAGAGACTAATGAAATCTTAACCAAGGGCAGCTTGGACATCATATATAGAAACATCCAAGCAGGAATAGCTTTTTTTCCCAATTTGCTTTAATTTAAATTTATTTTTAATATTTGTTCTTATGCTTGGAAATGTTCTTGCTTTCTATTACAATTTGCAAAACATTGTTTTAAAGCATACCAACCTGGGAGGTGGCTTTCCTTTTGCCTCACATTGGATTTCAATATTTTCTCGGGGGTCAATAATGTAATCTTTCGGAGATTGATGAATGATGGTTGGAGGTTGCACCACTTCATTGTTGAATAGAATAAACAGATGTAGAGCAATGAACAATTGTTTTAATATATTAATCAGTCATTTTCTCTAGATAAACACTAAATTTCACAAACTTTATCCAATCCCTAGTATTTCTTATGAAGAGAATAGCTCTCAGTGGGCACTAAATCAAGTTACCTGGAACTATGAAGTTAATACATATCTCACTGTCAGATTCTTGACATGCATATGTTGATTTCCATGCAAAATGCTTAGGAAAATAGTGATTAGTAAAAGTTTTGTCAGCCACAAGACAAAGTCAGTTTATTTTCTGATGCAACAATGAAAAATTCCTCTGACTTAGGATGAAAATGTTTCAGTACAGTCAAGTTGAGGCAAGCTTTCACTATATCTTACTTATAGAAAAGATAAATTCACTAATGTGTCTGGAGCATAGATGGAAGGAAAATATATTTTAAAATACTGAAAATGAAATATGTGCATGGAGTTTACACAGTGACCTTTGAATTAGATGTAGAAGGTAAATGAATTATGAATAAAGACAATCAGATTCAGGATAAAAGGAATGAAATTAGGGATGTTCTTAATGGTGGCCCAGTGGATAGAATGGTGGGCCTGGAGTCAGGACTACCTGGGTTCAAATTCAGCCTCAAATACTTCCTAGCTATGTGACCCTGGGCAAGTCACTTAACCTAGTTAGCTTCAGTTTCCACATCTGTAAAATGAGTTGGAGAAGGAAATGGCAAACCAATCCAGTATCTTTGCCAAGAAAACCCCAAATGGCATCATGAAGAGTCAGAAACAACTGAAAAAAAAAACCCCAAATCTTACTTTTCAATATTTCCATTACAGTATTCAAAGTGAGATGATAAACTGCTACCTAACCACATTGGTTTTTTTCTGTATGGCTAAAAGAAAAACTCTTCATCATATGTCTCAGTCTGAGATGAAGAAAGCTTGTTTCTATATCCATTACTCTATTGAAACTGTTCACTCTAAGATAACAAATACTTTCTGTTTTGGAGAAACTACAGCTTTTGAGGCTAGAAAGAAGCACAAATATCTAGTCTAAGCCTCTCCTTCTATATATGATGAAACTAAGGTTCAGAGATTCTAAATGATTTGTTCAGCCTCGAACCTAGATCTCCTCTTTCCCTGCCCACTGCCTTTCCTATCCCTCTTGTTGCTGTGGCTGCTCTATGCGACTCCATGGACCTTTGTCCATGGAGGTTTTCTTGACAAAGCTATTGAAGTAGTTGGCCATTTCCTTCTCCAGTGTGCCCCCATTTTACAGTTGAGGAATTAAGGCAAACAGGGGTTAAGTGACTTGCCTGGGGTCACACAGCTAGTAAGTGTCTGAGGTCACATTTGAACTCAGATCTTCCTGACTCCAAGCCCAATGCTCTACCCGCTGTACCACTCTTTCACCAGCTGATTCTTCCTTAAAATATTATCTTTTCTTAATTCTTAACTTGATTTACATTTCTGATGCATTTAACACATTATGTTAGCCACCATGACATTAAAATTTTTTGATTTCTTACTCCTTTTTTAACCTTAGCATCAGTAAGATGCATTTGTCTCCACAATCATGAAAAGTCAATTCATGAAAAACTGAATGCATCTGCTACACGAGTTGATGCCTTTCATTACTTGAAACTACACATATGAATCTTCAGAAAACACTTTTACATCTTGATATAAAAAAGATGAGTCTTTATTGCAACAGGTAGTGAATAGCTAATTTCATTTAGAAGATTTTGGTTAGGTTCTCTCTTTTTTTCTCCCAATGTCGGAGAATTTTCTCATGAAGTTGCATCAGATGTAAATAAAATCCACATGAGTAAAAAAAAGTGTCACTTTAGTAAAAGTAAAAAAAAAGTGTTCTAAAAGGCTGTTGGGAGATATAATAATCCCTAGTAAAATACAAATACTAAGGCTTCTTTGTATTCTATGAATGCAGTAGTTAGCCACAGCAAACACACATGCTCCACAAATAACCACAGTCACGAAATTCGGATTTTATAACTTGTGACTTCAGCATTACAAACGTTATTGATTCTACTTTCACACTGTCCACCAGATAAAAAAGGAACTTACAATTTTCAAGTTCTTTTTCCCCCATCAGTATCAGCAGGTAAGTGGGCAAAAAAGGATTAAAGAAAATCAGTTGTTAGTAAAAAGGAAAGTTAGAACCTTAGAGATGAAAGGAGCAAATTCCAGTCTTAAGTTTGATCCCTCAAACTCTATGCAAAGAGGGTGACCCAGTACTGTTCCAAGTGGCAGGAACTTGAATTAATTGAATGCATTTTACTATTGCTGTAGCTATCCATATAACCATGTGAAAGAACAAAAGAAATGCTCGAGGCAAAATTGAGTCTTCTGGAGACTCAAGAAGCTAATTCCATTCTATACATGTTGCACTGGACAAGTAATTATTTTCAGTTTGAAAAATAGCTGAAAATTACAATTAATCTGAATTGTCACATACTGTGCTGTCTGTCTCTGATCCTATTAGCACAGACACCACTATGCATATGGTGTCATCATCAGTGCTAACACCAAACAAGGTGACAAACACCACTGAGCATCCATTTGGCTACAGTCTAATACTAGATCAAACAGGCCAGACCTGCAAAGTCTCTTACTAGGATTTTTCTGTCCGGTGGGTTAATCATTAAGTGCATGCTTTGTCTTTTCAGAACATAAGAAAATTATTGCTTTGAAAGCTCTGTTGTAAAGTAAGATTTTTGCCAAAGGTCAAAACTCTATTTAGGGGAATATTTTTAAGCTTTGTCTCCCTTTCCCTTTCCTGTCTATCTGGCTATTTCCTCCCTTTACCAGCGACTACTCAAAAGAAAAGATCAGGATTTGATGGAAGGTGGACAAGGGGCTATGAAGCTGGGAAGGAATTAAATCAGTGCAAAATGTACATTAGTCTCCATTGCTGCCTGTTATCAGGGCTTGCAAAGGTTGAGACAGAAGCCTTGGGTTTATCTACTTTCTTTCATAGTAATTATGCTTCTGCATTAGCAAAGATAATTGGGTTAGCCGCAGGTGACTATTTCCCTCAGACTGTGAACAGTTAGATTAGAGGAAGACTTTTAGCACTAGAATGAACAAAAGCATTTTTTTCAAGAGTATTTCTGTCCCCCCATGTTTCAGCATGTGCTTAATTAGGAGCCACATATCGCCACCGCAGCCAATATTAGCATTAGTTCATTTAAGAAAAAAAAATTGAAATTAAGGTCATGTCATTAAAAATGGATGTGGACTAAAAAGGAATTGAAAATAAGTTGGAAAAATACTGGGTTCGAATTTTGATTTAGATTCTAGTGCCAGAGAAAAAGGGAGCGAGGTGCAAACCAAGCTGCCTCCTGGAAGCCCACGTATTGGTATTTTCACTGTTGGTAGCAGCCTCTGTGGCAGAAAATGATTTTAAAAATTGAAAAGCCTCAGGAAAACGTTATCTTTCCCTCACCTTGAAAACACTGCTAAAGAGATGTTCCATTCAAGAAGTTAATGGATTTAAGAAGGTCATGCAGATTAAGGATAAGGCCTAAATCAATATGCTAGAGTTATAACTGTCCAGCTTCTGAATATTCTGTTTTCTGTTTCAAGAAAGGGACCAAGTTATAACCTGGAATCTTTTATTAGAGGTGACACATACGAGAGAGAGTATACCTAGGTCCAGATTAATATTAGTGGGAATAAGGAATTTTATGAAGTGATTGCACTATTCAAAGTATAAATATATGTAAAATAAGGCAATTGGTTTCAGCCCAGTATAAATATGCAATGAAAATTTGAATAATAGGATCACTTTGCAGGATTCATTATTCGTACTAATCAGGACCTAGTTATATAGCCTATAATTCCCCATTTCAGAGAGAGTAGATATAATGTAGTCACTACCATTTACTCCCTTCTGCTCAGAATCCTCACAAATCACTTATCTTATTTTCAGTTTCCAACTTTTTCTTTAATTAAATTCTTCATAGAAGATGACTAATTCATAAAACTTCATAAATAATGCATTTCCTAGTTCTAGAATCACATGTTAAAAACAGTCTTATTTTAAGATTCTTAATCCATTTTCCTTAGCCCTCTTTTTAGGCACAGAGGAGAGATGAGTTGGTCAAAGACCACACCATACTGTTTCCACAGCATTGCCAGCACAGGAAGAGATAAGAGGCAGAAAAGGTTGATGGAATCTTAGCTAGACCCCCAAAGAGCTAGAAGGAGGAGAAACAATGGAGTAATACCACCCACTACTTCGCAGGCCAAGGGCACCCACTATCAACACTCCTCCCCTATAAGAAAGTCATGCAAAAATATGTGTCGGAGAGGACATTATGCAAGCCGATTTCTACAACATGCTTCCCTTAACAAAAGGACCAGAATTTAAGAATGCCTTGGAGCAAGATGTGTTAATTGACACAGTACATTTTTTAAAAATCCAGAAGGCAAAGAAAATAGAGATAGTTGGATGAAAATTTCTTTTTTTTGAAATTATGCTATTTTTGCATTAATTGGTGTACTGGTCCTTCTAGTGTTAAAAAATATCACGTGCTCAGGTAACAAGCAAATTCATTTTGATTTCACTTTTCTATGTGACACAGATCTTCTTCACTCCACACATTTCAGAGGGACAGCTAACGCTGGGGATATTCTGACTTCTCAGTCTACAAGTTTTAAAACATTAATACTTACGATCAAGAGGGACTTCCAGGGCATTCATCACCTGGCACAGGAAGAGAATCAAAGAAGCTCGGCATACAGATAAGCTCTTCTTTGGGGGCATGATTTTAAGCTGCATTAGTTTAATTCCTGCTGAGACAGGCAAACTGAATTTCCTTTCCTTGTTGCCACAATGGATCCGTGGGCAATGCTTAAGTAAGTGTCATGCAGGGGACTGGAAGAGAAGGATAAAAGACGAATATATTAATGTATTAATATGATTGAAATCAGCAATGGAATTTCAAAGCTCAAAATATAATTTTTATACTATACATGAAGTCTGAGTAGCCAACTTTTGTGTATTTAGCTGTGAATGAAAGTCTTTAGAAAACCCTTAATTTCTGTAGTTTATTGTACCTATCTGTGCAACACAACATTTCTAATCTTTATCATCATGATTATTTCATTTAAAGTACTTGTGTTACAAGTGCCTCAGGATGTTATTGTGTTTTCTGTTTGGTTCAGAAAGCCCTAGCTCTAAAAAAGAGCAGAAAGCAGTGTTTCTACAACCTAGAGGGAAGAGAGAACAAGACAGTCCATCTCCAGACTCTAGTCATATTCACTGACTGTTCCCCATGCCTGGATTACTCTTTCTCTTCATCCCTGCCTCCTGTCTTCCCTGGCTTCATTTGAGACCCAGCTAAAAATGCTACCTTCTATAAAAAGCCTTTCCTGAACTCTTATTGCTAGTGCTTTCACTCTATTGATTAACTACTTTATCCTGTCTGTAGCTTGGTTGCACAGTTGTTTTCATTTTGACTCCTCCATTAGATGAGGTGACCACCTTAAAATCAGGAATTATTTTTTTGCCTTACTTTGTAGTCCCAGTGGCTGCTACATAGTAGGTACTTAATAAATGCTTATTGAATGACTGAATACTCTGAATTTTCCCTCAAAATAGAAAACTTTGATTCAGACTACAAAATACTCATTTACCATTCTAGTTCAGCCCCTTGATACCTTTTGCCTGAGCCACTATAACAGACCTCTCTGCTTCGGATCTGTCTGTATGCCAATCTGTATCATACACTGTTATCAGATAGCACTGTCTAATGTATAGAACCATATACTTTTCTATTCCCTTGTTCCAAAATCTTCAATAGGTACACAATGACTACTGAATAAAATTGAAAGTTGTTAAAGTAGAATTCAAGAATTCCCCTCCATGATCTGACTGCTTAACCTTCTCTCCCTTCATTCCCTTATATGATAGGCAGCACTTATTTTAAGGTTTGCAAAGTGCTTTTATAAATATTATCTCACTTGATCCTCACAATAACTAGAGGAGGTGGGTGCTATTATTATGCCTTTTTTACAAATAGGAAACAGAGACAAGTAGATATTAAATGACTTGCCTATGGGTCTCACAGGAGCAAATGTCTGAGGCCAGGTTGGAACTCAAGTCTTCCTGGCTCTGGGCTCAATGCTCTATCTATTTCAACACCTAGTTGCTTGTATTCTAACTACTTGGACTCTTCATTTAACTGGACTCTTGATTACTGGTCCAGTATCATAGTACCAATTTTAATGATTTTTTTTCCTGCTTTAATCAGAACAGTATAAACAACCCAATGGGTGATGAAAAAGGTCTCATAGCAGTTCAGAAAAACTTCCCTCAATGGAATGTAGACTCCTTGAGAATAGGGACAGTTTTGTTCTTGCCTGTCAATGTCTAACATAGTTAGACTTATAGGCTTATAGGTTTAGAGGTAGAAAAGACCTCAAAGGTCATCAGGTCAAGTGGTGTGAAACACAGATAAAAATGGGGCCACTGAACTATACATAAGGATCCTTGCAGACTGTATATTGACTTAGAAGACTACAACTTAACATTATCTGTGTATTATTGTATTTTTACTTATTTTGTTTAATATTTCCCTATGAGCCGCACTCAGGCTACATATGGGGGACCCATGTTTGATACCTCTGATCTAGTTCAACCCTTTCACCTTAACAGCTGGGTATTAAGGAACTTGCCAAAGACTTAAAATATGTTCAATTGAATTGAGAAGAGAGAGATCAGAAGAAGTTGCAGTGTGCAGGATGTCCTTAGGGATCTTCGAACTTAGAGCTGGAAATTACCTTAGAGGTGACCTAGTTCAAGTTTGCTCATTTTACAAATGAGGAAAGTGAGGTCCAGAGAAACAAAAATGATTTGAACCTATGACACCTATCTCTAATCCAGTACATTTCTCACTAAACCAGGCTACTTCTTTCAAGGCGCTACTCTGAAGTACAGGGACGATTTGGATAGATGACCTATATATATGTTCATACTTATAAATAATATACAAACTAGCTTTTACATTTGGAATGAATTGACTTGACTAATCATTAGCCAGTCACTAAGCAGTTTGATTTAACAGAAATCAATTCTGTCAAACCAGTTGAAATATTCTGTGTGTGTGTGAGGATAAATGTAGCTTACATACACAACTGAAACCCACCATTACGTATATTTGCATTGTTAGCACACCTCCTGGCTTCCCTGGATTCCTTCAAGTCCCAGCTAAAATGCCACCTCTATAAAAAACAAAACAAAACAAAACAACAAACATTCCTGATTCCCTAGAACAGGGGTGGAGAACCTGCTCTAGAATCTAGGACCTTCCCTTTGTGGTTGATCTCTAATTTATCCTGTATATATCTTGTGTATGTGTTGTCTCCCCCATCAAACTGTGAGCTCCCCAAGAGCAAGGATTGTCTTTTACCTTCTCTTTATATCTCTAGTACAGAGCACAGTGCTCGGCACAAGTAGGTGCTTAATAAGCGGCCAACTGACCAAGATTGCTATAGAATACTGCTTAGTTCTAAACAAAGACACTAAGAGGACAAGTACATAAACAATGGCAAGGGAGAAGACCCACACAAACCTTCTAATTTTGCCTAACAAACTTTTCTCATGTATTTTATGTAATATCTAATGAACTTGCTTTCTTCTCTTTGGGACACAGTAACAGAAACAGTCCATGATACCTTCAACATGGAAAATGAGGATGGAATTATATCAATATATTGCCAAACTAAATCAAAATCATCCTACATGTTGGCATATTCAAACTGCATCAAAATTCTCTGGGCATCTACAGTTATCCCTTTCACATTGTGACTTTCCCCATCATGATTTTGATATGTCACAGGTTGGCATAAGAAATTAAATGGGAATTTTTTGGGAGTTTTGTGGAAGCGCAGATGACATGTGAAGGTCAACAGATAACATAGAGCCTATGACCAAATACTTAATCCAAATTTTATGCTAAAGGGGCAGGTAGCGCAGTGGATAGACCACCAGTCCAGTAGAGCCTGAGTTCAAATGTGGCCTCAGATACTTGATACTTTGTACCTGTGTGACCGTGGGTAAGTCACTTAACAAAAACAAACAAACAACCAAACTTTACAATAAAGAACATCCATAAAAGATAAAGAAAAAATTCATACTTCTTCTCCAGTATGAAGGGAGAGCCAAAAAAATTTACCTGGATTCTCCAGATAGCAGGGGCGTTGTGCCCCTAACTCCTGTAATGTGGAAGAGATAACTGTATACTGCCTGATCTGATTGATGCAGACACCTCCTAATTTTCCCACTGAAACACTGATTCTGAACTCAAGCATAAGCTTGGAGGAGCGGATCAAGCATAGCACAAGTTATCTACCTCTGCAGTTTTATCTAGAAGAAGTTACATTGGCTGTAAGCATACCATGCACGTCCAAAGAAAGCAAAACAGATCTAACAGCAGAGAAAAGAAATGGCACGTTGGCTGCTATTTTTGGTTCCTGCTAATGTAGCACTCTTGTTCAAGTGCTTAGGATTGAAAAGAGGTGCTAAAACTCTAAAGCTACAGACCTTCCTGAATTTTTCATATTAAATTGTGTCAATATTAAAAGTTCAGACTGATATACATATACATGTATATTCACACATATATGTAAATATATACATATATATGCCAGCTTCAAAATGTATTGCATTTTTAATTTTCCCTTCACACATTTACCTCTCCATCTTTTATGATTGAGAAATTAATTTAGTAACTCACAATAGTATTCTTTTAAATTCAATAAACATAGAATGAGAAGATGAATGAATGAAGCAGGCAATTTAAAAAAATCTTAGAAAATTAGCAAATTAATAACCTCTCAAATTAATACAAAAGTAGAAATCCTGAAAACCAAAGACCAGATAAACATAATTTTAAACAAAATGGTGGTCAGTTCAATAAGCATTTATCAAATACCTATTCTGTGCAAGGCACTGGGCTAGGTACTGGTCTGTTTTAAATCTATAAAAAAAAAGAGTGATAAATGCAGAGTTAGTACTAAAAAAAGGTCATCCAGTCCACGACCCTCATTTTTACTAATCAAGAAACTGAGGCCAAGAGTGATTTGCCTGAGGTCACAGAACTCATTAGTGACTCCTGCATTAGATTCCTGTCTCTTCATCTAAAACCTTTCCTATAATATCTAAATGTTCTTAAAAATAAGACTCTAAAAATTAAAATACGAAATTTAGGATAAGACTTACATACTGTGACAGATACTAAATTCCCACAACGATGCATTTAAATGAACAAAGACAGGGGGAGGTCTCTCAGTAGTACCATGTTAGCTGCATCATTAGCCATGAAGTGGATTCCATTTGTATGCAAACAGAAAGCAAATGCTTTCTCTATCGTCTGACTCCTGTATAGATCATATGCAAAATCACCCACACCCCATGCATCTGTACCATACCTAATTTTTCAGGCTATCAGAGGGTGATACCTGTGGATAGGATTAAGTCCTCCACACTCAATCATAATGAAAAGCCAATACAGCATAGGAAGTTGTGCCTTTCACTTAGTAGGAATGAGGGATGCTTATATTGCTCACAAAGAAAAATTATTATTTTTATGCATGTATATATTTATTTATTCACATAATATTTGTGGAAATGTCTTTTCTCTCCCCATGGGAATTCATCTGCTTTGTACTTCACCTTGGAAAATAATGTATGTCTGTACTTAAGTAAAATGAGTTTCAATAAATCATATTAAATTCTTTTTTAAAACACCAAAAATGAGTTAATGTGATTTCTGTTTAAAAAACAGTTTCCTTATAAATTAATGTTAAAATCATGTGAGACATAATATGACATACAATTTTTAATACATTACTTGCCAAAATATAGGTAACATT